AGTCAATCTGGTAAGAAATAGATGCTAATAGTCAACAATAGCCACTAAAAGCCATTCCAGTTAGTAAGCACAAAAATCCCTCGTAACTATCAACACTAGTCACTACTAGCGATTTGTAGTAATTTCAAACCAATCTAGTAAAAAATAAATGCTTATAGCCAATAATAGCCACTTCCATTTATTCATTTATTGACCCTTACAAACTCCATTTGGGGCATCACAGAAAGAGGGGGCGGGGACAGTACCGGGAGGCATACATGTAGAACTTTTATACTTATAAAAAATAAAACAGAAATAAGATATGGTCAGACAGTGCCCACACACGAAGACATGACCAGTTTCATTCATAAACACTGAAATAGTACAGAATTGTTAAATATAGTTGCTAATAGCCATTGCTAGCCATTTGAAGCCAGTCTGGTCAGAAATAGATGCTAATAGCCAACAATAGCTACTTAAAACCATCCCAGTTAGTAAACACAAAAATCGCTCATAACTATCAACACTAGTCACGTATAGCCTTTTGTAGGCATATCAAGTCAATTTAATAAAAAAGGCTTAAAGCCAATATTTGCCACTTGCGACCATTTGCATCCAAAAACACTGAAATAGAACAGAATTGTCAGTTGTACTCACTAATGACCATTGCTAGGCATTTGAAGCTAATCTGGTCAGAAATAGATGCTAAGAGCCAGCAATGGCCACCTAATCATTCTCTGTAGTAAACGCAAAAATCGTCCAAACTATCAAAACTAGTCACTAACAGTAACAGCTATTTAAATCATATTTATCTAAAATTTTATACATACCAATAATAGCCATTTGAAGCCATACTCATTTTTAGGCAACGAAATAGCGCAGCATTATAATTATCTCATCAATATCCATCAGTAGCCATCTCAAGTCAGTCTGGTCAAAAATAAATACAAATAGCCAACAATATCATCTTAAACCATTTCACTTCGTAAATATAAAGATAGCTCTATGAATAGCTAGCTACTATAATAGTCAGTCGTAGCCATATGAAGCCTTTCTAGTCAAACATAAGTGCTTATAGCCAATCACAGCCACTTGAAACCATTTTGATTCATACACTCAGACAGCCAATAATTGCTATTACACTGACAAATAGCCATGAGTAACCATAGAAGCCAATCTGGTCAGGAATTGATTCTAATAACCAACCATAGCCACCTGACGCCGTTCCAGTTTATCAACAAATAGCTCAAAGTTTTCAATGCTCATTATTAATATTTGTAGCAATAACTAGCAAGTATAAATATAGAAGTGGAGGTTGATAGCCAATACTAGCCAGTTGAAGCCATACTCATTTATCAGCACAGAAATAGATAACAGTCAATTATCTCATCAATAGACATTGATAGCCCTTTAAGGTCAATCTGGTCAAGGAGATGCCAATAGCCAACAAAAGCTACTTAAAGTCGTTCACACGTGTAAACAAAAGAAGAATCACATAATTATCAATACTAACTACTTCTAGTCATTTAGAGCCCCCTCAAGTCGATCTCATCAAAAATTTATGCTTATTGCCAATCGTGGTCATTTGGAGGCAATGACATGTTTCAGTAGCAATAAAACAAATAAATCAACAAGTTCAGAAAAGGTTAATAATTATTTAGATTGTACAAAATTGTTACTCAAATTCTGACTGGTCTATCCAGCACAGTGCATTTTCACATCTAAAGACCAAGACGTCCTATATCGCGAGCTTATGCTCCATCGAAATGCTCTATCGAAAAAAAGAAAAAAAAATATTTCATAGGCTATCAAATTTTTTATTGAGTCAGACACACTTGATTCACTTCCGGGGAAAGTGGCGAGTTGTCCACTCCTTATCACCAGGAAATCTTTTTACTTCCGTTTCCCATTTCACCCCGGAGTTTCCTGGATTAGTCTCAACGGTATTTGGCCTTATCCCTGACAAATCGGCTTTTACCCAATTCAGCCTTAATCATACAATTGATCAAACTTCATTCTATGTTGATGAAGCTTGAAATATAGGAGAACAAGCATTTCTCAACAACTTGGAATCTCGTTAATGTGTTTTTTTTCTTGTTAGTACTTCTGCACCACTATATCTAGAAATCTACCCTACATACTTGCACAAAAGCTCGCCGGGTAAAAACTTAGGTAAAAAAGGAGTAACTTCATCTCTCTGATCACTTATTCATTGCCCAAAGAATGAATTACTCTCATTTACTGAACTCTCTCGAAGGGCGGCATTAAGATGGTTTATTTTGACAGGACCGCTCTATGACAGTAGTTTTTATGCTAGAACCCCATTGACGTCATGTTTAAAGTAAAGGGGTACATTCGTTTGTATAAAAAGAAAGAACAAACTTCACGACACCCCTAGGCCCAACACGTTCTATATGTAGAAGAACTTGTAGTTGGGCTAGTTGGTAAACGTTGGTGTTCTTGTTACAAGGCGCAGACGTTCTATATGCAAGACCTTTGTCCACTTTCCCCCATGCTGCGTATTTAAAATAGTTTTAATACACTCGTTCACTATCTTTGATAGTGAACGCTCGTTTAAAAATGCCCTAAGCATTCAGCTTTATTGGGATCAATGTTTTTGTGTTTGGTTTTTTGTACAGAGTGACATTTGTGTGTACCAGCATTCAGGCTTCGGCTGTTCCTGGACACAAGAAATAAAAAAATAAAGAATAAAGAAGAAGGCCTGTATAAACAAGAAACAATCTGTCACCCTCAAAGAACGAATATTTTCTCCGCTTTCCCTGATTATTCCAGAAATTTCAAGGTGCCCCTAAAACGAATCGGCTATTTTTGTAAAATAAACCTACAAACTTAAATCACTAAAATATAGTTTGCCGCCAAATATTTTTGGTTTGATTATTTCTTCTTTAACTCTTACATCTGCATCGCAGACTAGCCTATACAAGAATTGTAGTCTTTTTTTTTTTTTGTATTTTCTGTTCTGGGGAAACATCTCGGTAGTACGTTTTTCCAATTTGTACCAAATAATTATAGCTGGAATAGTTGAACTTTTCTTGCTTCTAGTATTCTAAATAACATTAATACAATATTCAATCCGTTTAGAATTGACATTAAAAATGATCGTGTTTACCTTATACGTGGAAGCTCATCATGCGAACTTCATCAAACATAAACCTAAGCTGGTGTAATCGGATCAGGCGCTCAAAAGAAGCATGCGCGTAATCCATAATCAATGACGGTGAGGAACAAAATACCAGATTTTTCACGTAAAATTCTTTCACAAGTGAGGATAAAAATTATTCGCCATCATTGCTGATCCATACAAAAGCAACAAGAACAATATCGAAAGCAAGACAACCAACCTTCGCAAGTGATTTCCAGATAATACATTACAACTTTTTTTTTAAGTGCAACGATTCATTATTACCTTCAAACCTTTACAGAACATTTGATATACCGATTATAATTAGGGTTTTGTCTTTTTATATATATCGGAAAAATCCGAAAATTAACCCCCGCACCGGTTTTATCGAAACCGAGAAAAACCGAAGAACTCCGAATTTAAGCTTTCTTTCAGTAAGAACAACAAAAAAAATGCGAGTCCAGCAAGAAGGCACTTCAGCTGCAGCTTTATTTTCTGTTCACCTTGAACAGAAAAAATTAACTGACCACGGGGCTTCCACTTTCTTGGGGCACCATAACCCTTATCTCGATTTGTTTTCTTATCTGTACTCGGGTGATTTCCCAAGTATTCGGGTCTCGCGCCTGTTTCCTAGAAGGTGGGGCATCCTACGTCAGTGTTTTGGTTTCTTCGACATAACTTACACAAGCCGCGACAAACGCCGGCGTTCTGTCCGACACCGAAAATTGACACTGAAAAACACCGAATCAGTTGAGGAAAGAATAAACAAGGAACGAACAACCCTGAACTTAAAAAGAAATAAAGCTTGAAAACACAAAACCTTAAATAGAGCCAGGAAATTGTTGCTGGTTCTCAATAGCATTCGCTTAACACATCATTTTAAGCTGCAAAGAACGATTGTAATTGTTTACGTAGGAAAGAATGGCCGCGGGTTAAAGGCTACAGACTCCGTCTGTAAAGCGTGCTTTGCCTGCAGCGCACCCGTGCGTAGGGGGAAGCTGTCACACACGTGACTAGCACGTAACATTCACATTACTTGAAGCCAATGATGATGGAGTATGCAGAAATCATGCACTATACATGGGGATCGAATACCCAAAACATTGCCCTAAAACTTAAGCCACAAAATATCTTACACAAGGAGCCCTACTAACATATTCAGTTTATTTATCGTCTAGCGCTTGTTAGGTGTTGAATGAAATTATCAAAGAAGTCATAACTGTGTGTCGTTAATAGCAACGAACTACTCATCCCTTGGTGACAAACCACCTTTGTAGACTTTTTAATGTTTTGAAATGCTTTGCTGCTTCTTTTATAAAGCAAGCTATCTGTTTGATTTTCGAAATAATCACCCAATAAACTAATGAAAGCGCGAAAACAGCCGTGGCAAGAAACAAAATATATAATTAATGACCTTCCCAGCTTCTTTGTTTTTTACTTTCATTTCCACATGTTTCCACGCATGCCCTTAGAAAGAACGAAGATTTCGCTATTTTTATTATTATTAGAGCTCAACATGCGCTAATCTCTACGAATAGCGCAGGTACGATACTTCCCTCAACAAAACTAGCTCGCCGCTAAATTTTAATCCAAAAACGACCCAGCAGTCTGCTCGGCCTCCATTCCAGTCAGCGAGCATTGCTCCAGGTTAGCGAGTAAACACCTAACACCATCGCAACGATGAGTCACAACGACCGCACGCTCGGGCTGTCACAAGCCCAAAAGGCTTAGGCAAAGAATCGCTGCCGTGTCACATCTGGCACACAGGGTTGACTGCAACGTCGTCCAAACACAAAACAGAACCAAAACAGCGGCAGAGGTCGCGCCGTCGGCGAGGAGGAGAAGGAGGCCCCTCGAGAAACCAGCGGGGTGGACTTACCCTAATCCGAACGCCAGGTAAAAGACGAAACATTTCGGGACCAAGTTGGTAATCCCAAGCATTGCAGAGGAACTGTGTTTTTTCGTCGGTGAGACCGGTTGGGCTGGTCGGGTGACGCTTTCCGTTGCAGCGGAGTCGGGGTGGTGGCGGAGGGGTTATATTTGCTCGAGGAGTCTCGAGGAATGAAAGCAGCGTCCTGGAGCCCCCGTGTCGGGTTGCGGCTCCTCGCCCGAAAGTCTGAACGAGGGAGACGAGGATGGGGCACGGAGCGCGCATGCGCGAAACGTGACGTGCTGTGACGTCGCGGATCGCGCTGCGGTGGGTTGTGTGTCGCTGCCGATAGATGGCACCCGATGTCGGAGTGTGTGTTTTTGGGAGGGGGGTAGGGGGAGAAAAGGCTGGGAACGGGTTGCGCTGCACACGACGTCCCATAAAAGAGGAGAAACGAAAAGCACAGATTGGATACGACTGCTGTGTTCGAGTTCGGCGAGGCCTCGTGTCTTCAGCCGTTGAATACAAGTTTCAGCCGAACACGCGTGTCCATTCTACGACTTTCATTGGACTTGTTTAGGTGATGCAGGAAATTCAGCAGCACGACTTTGGTTCTCTAGCAGGTGTTACCCAGACCGCTTTTGGTGACCGCAATATCTTCGGGCTCTAGAAATATTTCGTTTGTCAACTTTTTCTTAAGTGTAGCCATTTGCGCTCTACTCGAACGTTTCTTCTTTAAACTTTTTTGCTGTGCTAAACAAGCATACTATTATTGGTTCCGAAAAGTACTAAGCAATTGGTTGTTTTCGTTCCCACTGGGTGCAAAGCTCCCTAAACACAAGGATATAAGACAGATGTGTAAAACAATAAAAACAAAAACTAGCATTTCACCAACAATAACAGGACTAAAGCAATTGTTTTCTATTTTTTTTGCCTGCCACAGTAATTGTTTTACCCTTCAGATTTACAGTGTCATATTTATCATAAACAGAATTGCACAACTTTATCTACATCGTAAAACATAACTCATGTTTGTGATGATCCATACTATGAATTACAGCATTGCTGTCTGATGTATTGATGCCACAGTACAAAGTTGCAGACCGTGCTCTGCGCTTAATGAAAATGCTCGAGTTTTCCAGAAGACGCACATGCCTTCAAGCGTGTCTAATAAAACAATATAAAAATCCAATTCTAGTGCAAAAAAAAACAAAAAAGAAAAACATCGCAGATGTTTTAAGCTTTACCAGATTGTAACGCTATAGAGGTCCGAACCAGACCCCAAAGTTTCCGAGCTTGTAGGTGTTCAAAGATTATAGGCGAGTTTCGGAAATTTCCAATGAGCAAATCTGACCCGTTTCTGCCTGTAGACGCCATTCGCCTTTATGTATTCTTTTGCATCGTCGGCGCCATTTTCTCATTGAAGATTTCCGAAAATCACTTTTTACTTTTGACGATATATCCGACAAGCCCCGAAACTTTGGCATTCGGTCCGGACCACTAGCGCCACATTCGGCCGTAGGCTAAGTGTTCAACTACTCCTACTTTATTTCTTGGGTAAATCTACAGCATGTAAACTAATTAACACTTTGAAGGCAACTTAGATGATTCGCAATACTCGGTTTCTTAACGTATTGTGCTGAGATCTATTACAAAGGTGCAAGCAGGTGGTGGAAGTCTACAGAGCAAAAATCATAAAATAAACTTTCATTGTTAAAACAAAAAGAGCCCTGTTCTGGTTGATCTACGCCGCTACTTCGCAGACGACGCACACGTAATGAAAAGTGCACCGGTCGAGCCGGTTTAGGATAGCAAACGGTCCCGCAAAAGAACTCGAATTACCCGGCGCTCCATCGACTCGGTGTGCGCCATCTGTTGGCAGCACTTCTCATAATGCGTGCATCGTCTGCGAATTGGCGGCGTAGATTGCACAGAACATGATTTTTTCCCCTTTGAAAGAGAAGCGTATTCCTTGGTCTTTTTCACTGTAAACTTCCACCACCTGCTGCACCTTCGTAGGAAATTGTAGCACGACAGGCTAAGAAACCGATTTTTGTGGCCCGTCTAAATTGCCTTACAAGCGTGAGTTCACATGCTGTATAACACGGCAAACTTTATTCCCAGACGCCCGATACAATGTATAACCGCATCTTTTAACAAGGGGTTGCGCGGGCAACGAAATTTTAAGATTTGAATTCGATATAGGTCTCATGACAGTGCGAAGAACGCCGACGGATGTCAACAAGAGTAGGTACAGCTCAGCACGCGGCAAGTAGAAACGTAAACTCACAAACTTTCGGAGACGAACACAGCCAGGATACAGTATACCTATAGTAAAGTAGTTATTTGAGCTAGTTGGCACTTCAACACGATAAAACAGTGGTCAAAACACGGAGGAAAAGAAAATTACAGGTAGTACAGGGTTCTTTCGTTCTACCTGTCCTTTTCCCTTCCTCGGTGTTCTGTGCGCTGTTTTATCATGCTGGTGTTCTCAAATTACCGAGTTTTTTCGGCTGTTTTTGTCATGGTCACACGAGACGTGCACAATTACATTGCAAACAACCTCCATGGTTTGCTTTGCTTCCCGTCTTAAATTAAGGCTTTCTACCAGATACCAATCAACCACGGGGGTTCTCTCGCGGAACCGTGCGTTCTTCTTTGTTTCTTTTCATTTGTTAATGGTACTGCCATAAAACATCCGCACCCACCTTTATTGTTCCGACCAAAAAGTGAAGAAACACCGGGGTAAAAACTCTGAACTATTTCGGAGCCATCGAGCATGTCCACTTCATTGCACCATCCCTGCGGTTCGTCTCTCTCATTTTTATTATTATATATGTTATTGTTTTTGTGTGTGTGTTCTTTTTTTTTTAAATTAGAACGATCAGGAACGCCCACCAGACACAATTCTCGTCTTTGCACTCGCTCAACCGTAACATAAAGGACCCTGTTATAATTATTTTTTTTTTTCGTGAATTACGGTTCAGATGCGGTGGCGGTGGCGCGATCCTCCACCATGCTGCGTGTGTTGTTTTAAAAACTTTGACTCTCGATCGACCTATTTTGCTTTATCAGCGTCCCCCAGAATCCGGTTAGAAAACAGAATTTTGATTTGTAGCGGATCATTTATTAATATTTCGGCTCGCCTTCCGATAGCACTTTTTTTTTTTGGTTTGGGCTTTTGTATTGTTCTTTTGTCCTTGTTTTTTTTTTTTTTTTTTCAATGAAAATAAACACGATAAAGGTTCTGGAGGTGACATGCGGGACGCAAGGTAAATCACCCTTTTCTGCGTTTGTTTTGTTACATCACGTTTTTGTCACGTGTATATACTATACGCAACCCTAGCACGCTTAATTTCGCGTGCGATATTTTTTTTCCCGTATCAGATTGTAGACAAGAAAATACAATGAATATCACTTGCACGTACAGTGTATAGTAAAAAGGTGCATTGTGGAGACACGAAATATACTACCGAAGTAGCTCATTAACCACGGGAAGACGCAAACGCAGCGTGGTTTCTTATTCTTTGCATTTCAAAAATATGTATTTAATTTACATAACACCCGATGCGCCGTTAATGCATTATCCATGCTAGGGGGGGGGGGGGGGGGGGGGTTACATAAAACAATGCGTATAATGAATTGTTTTTCAAGATATACACATAACAACAATGATAAATAAATTTTTACACTTGAACAATACTCCGTATTCTTTAGTAAAAAAACAGCAACTTCCAAAATTAAAACTAACTTTTCATAACAAATTTCACCATCCCCTTGTCTTGACGAAGTATGAGAAAGTAAGAAAAAAGCAATTAATATGGTAACGGCATTCTCCTACTTTTCTTTGAATGGTCCAGTATTGAAGACGCGCGGTGCGATTCTGAATTGCACACGTAAAGAAAGAAAGAAAGAAAGAGAGCTTTTCTTATAGTATGACGACTCCCGATTGGGCTACTTGCCGGGTACTGTCTTCCTGTGATTCGGGATTTTTCATTATCTTAATTATCTTAAGTAAAATCTATAAGATTAGCGTCAACAAAGGCTGATTGAATCAAACAAAAAAACAGCCGTAAACCTCAAGGAACCTTTAGTTTCAACTGCTTCAACTAAGGTGAGTATAAATCTGTGGCAGTTAATTGGACATTGAGTTTCGTTGCAACTTTCAAAACATATTATTCCATTACTATTGTATCGAGATTTCGAGGGTTTTTAGAATGTAAGTGGGTTCCACTTTGGAAGACAACATTTAAGGTCAAAACGTGAGTCAAATATTTGAGCGACATTGCCGAGTTTTGTTTTGTAGGTTCGGTGTCTTATCTGAGGCATTGGTTTCTATAGGCTTCATAAATATTAATCTTAAAATGATATGCAAAACACACGTTGTCAATCGTGTTCTGGGTTAATTTATTAATTTAGGTTTTCATTGTCAATTAAAGTTGTTTTAAACTTTAACGGGGACCGTTTCTTCTCTACATTTAGCACGAAAACCTCAATTCGCGTGTACTCATACGCGAATTAAGTCTTCCCGTTAATTTTAGAGGGAGAATTACATGTTACCGTTTTCTATTACACTTTCGATGCACACTTTCGTTGTCCACTTCCGTCACACATTATCCGAACATTTTGTTTTACTCTGAGTCATATACACATTTTGTGTCAAATGAACATGCTCTTACAAGCTTTCAGTTTAGAAACTAGCTCCGCTCGATAAGTAAGCTTAGCTGCCCCAGATTCCGAAAATGAAATAAATAGAACTTGCGCACTGATGTGAAAAAATCAACGACCCTACGTAATATGCATCAGCGAGGTAAAATATATTGATGCATTCTTGCTGTAAATATGATCACAAACCGGAAGCGAAGCTCCCGCTGTAGGATGTCGTGACCGACGTGGGTCCCCATGATGAACCGGGCTCGACTGGAGTCCAGATCCGGACGGAGCTCCGGGAAGGAATCTCAGCAGTCGACGATAACGATAATTACAACTCTCCTTTATTTACACATGTACACGTCAGGAAAACATTGAGCTCTACCTTTACAGCTGCTATCAGCAGCTTTAAGCTTTGATCTAGGTGAGCTCCTTAGTAGTGGTAGTCCGCTCCCTTTAAAGCCTTTCGGTCGCCATGTTGTCGGGTGGCAGCCAATCGCGGCGGTGCACCAGTTTCCATCACCTACGCCTTCTCGGAAGAATCCTCTGTCCAGGTGACGTCACACGTTCATGGACACCGCACCGAAGAGATCGTCTGTCTCGGTGGCGTCATGCGTTCATGTCTTGGGACAGGCTGGACGAGATACTGGCGTAATGTTTGCAGCGTCTGAGACCCGCTGGGTTGACCCTTGCCTAGATCTGTCGACCTAAGTTCCAGGAACGTCAGACATCCGGCTAGTTCGACGCCTCCAAGCAACGTTAGTTCGGCGGTGAAAGATGAGACGACGAGCCAAGGCCGCCGAGGGCCCATCGCCGCCGCCGTTTCCGATTGAAACAAAAGAGACAACACTGATTTATGTCATCATTGACACAAGGCACCTACTTGGTACAGACGGTCATGTAACGTACCACGTAAGAGGGCGCAGCATAGATTGCATTCGACGTCATCCACCCCTATGTGGCCTCCGCGCCTGTGTTGAATGGAACCGGGTAACCGTCCTCAGCAGATATTTTAGGCATTTGTAGAAGGGTAAATTAAGTTATTTTGTTTAAGCAATCCTAAGTTCCATATGCAAAAAACAAATCAAACAAATTAAGCAATAGTTTTTTAGACAATGGGAGTGAAGTCCGCCAGATTATGGCGGCCTTCTTACCTACTGGAGATGAGAATTTCGACAATGCAGTAAGATTGCTAGCTTGGTGCCTTTAGCGTGCAACCCACAGTAGTGATACACGACTTCACGCCGGTACGATGTTCATCGAGATCGAAAAGGGGCAGAGGTGGGGATAGAACCGAGGATACCTGGCTTTTGCAGCGTGAGTTACATAGGACTAACCGCGTTTATAACACTCGACGAAAGAATAAGAGATGAAAAAGACAAAGAGGGTAACCTTAGAAGTTAAAAGGATCCAACGATATATTTCAGGCTTTTAAGCTTCTTGCCTACCAGCCATCGAAGCTAGCCATCGGATATGACGCCTTTGCACATATGTGCAGACCATGGCCACTAAAAAAGGTACGCTTCATTGCAACGATTCTTTCAGTCACATCATTTCATAAAATGTTGCCAGTTATCTGACGATCTATCGGAAACTGTAAGGAACGCCTAGACCGCCACACAGCAGAAACGATCTCGCCTGAGCCTCCCGACACCGTATCTAAAGATCGGGAAGTCAAATTTTCGAGTTGTAACCATCCCCAATGGACCCGTTTCGAAAGTCCATCAGGCAATATTGCAGAAAGCCATTTCTTAGTTTTGGTTTCTAGACTAGGTGGCGCAAGCTACCGCCCGTCATGAAGGGTACAGCAGTTAGCATCTAACCAGCATTCATCCTTTCATCCATTCGTCAATCCATTGGGCACAAGGTGCGGGATTGGATCCGATATCACGCCAAACGCCAAAGCAGCCCTTCGTGGCAAACACATGCTCAGAGCCCGTGCCCAAACAATGGCCGGATCGGGTAATTAGCGCAGTACCATAGCCTCCTCTATACTCACAAAGCCTGGCAGTTCGACGAAGGAGCCATAGAGTGCCTGGTCACAGATTTGTAGCGCGAGGGTCTTGTAGCACAGAACATTTCTCGGGGAGTCTGGTTTTCAGCGCACCTCTTTTGCAGCGGCGAGGACCCGAAACATGATTTTCGAAATCGACGAGAAAAGAAGCGACAGCCCGAGGTACACGAGAAGCACGAGCGGACATTCCATCGCTTGGGACAAGAGTGTTTCGGTGTTTCGCCGCAGCGGGGCGCCCGTTACGTGACTCTTGTCTGCCGCTCAACCTTTTCCCTTTCGGCGGCCGCGTCACGTGACGATCTGCCAGGCTTTGTCAGTATAGAGGAGGCTATGGCAATAACTACGAGACGGTGCGCACGTCTGAAAAGGGTGTATTGCACCAAAATGGCAGCGGCCACAAAATGATCATAGATTAAAGTGCCGATATTCTAAGCGTACCTCCTTTAATAACCTCAGTGTAAAAAAAAAAAAAAAAAAAAAAAAAGAAATTATGTTTTTGAGGCGAACGAGACGGTGTGCCAAGGCATGGCGTGTTGACAACATGGCGCGCATCAGGTGTTTGAACGCGTGTCCTGTGAATCAAAACCAGACCGAGGAACCCAATTCTCAGTTTAAATGAACTGGAAAAGTAACCAAGCAAAACGATCTCGCCCATACCACCCACTAAATTAGCAGATTTCGGTGATTTTGTGAGCGTTGCTTGGTGGCCACTTTAATGGTTTTACGAAGGAATTTCGATCGTAGTATTCAAGCTTACAGTCTTCCTCAATGGCACTTAGGAAGAAAAAAAACTCAATTTATTAATTTTTATAACAAGACTTTAGCTCAGTTTTCTTCGGTGTGAAATCGTGTTCGCGAGTTCACGAGCCTACGCCAATCTCACTTTCCTTCCAAGACCATCACCGCCCCCCGCTCAAAGCTGTTGCAATTCACTGTTTCACTTCGTACAAAATCCCAACCCAGCGTGTCCTTTTCACAGCACAGCGCGAGCATGTTCGTCGTTTCTCAAAGGGTGCACAAAGCACGCGCCGCACGCACAAACCCCGAGAAACGGCACCCGCCAGAAGCCGCGGCAGGCCAGCGCCAACGCGAAGACCTTCCGCGACCGTGCCTCCCTCGGAACCTACAGCTTCGTTGCACCGCCGCAAGGTGCGCTCCCAACCTCCCTCCGCCTTCCTCTTCCCTCGGCACTCTCGCAGACGCGAAAGAAGCAATCAAAGCGAAAAGCGCACGCGCGCGCGCAAAAACTCTGCACCGCTACTTTTTTCTCAGGCCAGAGGATTTCAAACCGTCGCGGCCCAGAGCGCGGAGTGGGGGGGCTTTTGCTTTGGTGCTCGAGGCCGCTAGTTTCCGAGTGGCTCGTCGTTTGGGAAACGCGACGCTGAAACTCTGTGGTGTGGTTGTCGTTTTTGTTGCTGTTGTCGCGGTCGTCGGTTTGTCGGCCTGGTCTGAACCGTAACCATGAACGAGAGGTAGCGAAGGACGGCGGTGGTCGCTGAGCGGGACACGATGCTCGGATGCCGGTGCCGGGACCTGGGACATCATGAGGCCCAGGGGAGTCGGATACGCGACGTCGTCCTGGCTCGGTCTCTTCAGCGGGCACTGTCGTCGACAGCGACGCGGGGCTGCGTCGCTCGTGAAGGCAGCCTTCGTCGGCGTGCTGGCCGCGACACTGCTCAGGTTTGTCACACGTTCGTAGAATGCCTTTGCAGAATTAGTTTTGCACCGTGGATTGCAGTGACCCAGGGCTCCTTGAGGATGTGTCAATATAAGGGCGGAATAGTTCTAAACCTGTTTGCTGGATTCTCGCAGCGTCCACGGTGGCTTTTCTTTTTTTAGTTTGCTCGCGTCCAGCACGTTGGATACTTTATCCTTCATTGAATACAGGTATGTATTACGCAGCGAAAAAATCTAAGCGTGTTCTTTTTGTTCTAACAAAGTTTCGATCATCGCGGTTACAGTAACACTGATACCATAGAGTTAACTGAAACAGAACAGCCATCGACCCGTCAATTATGTGATCGTATCTATTATAGTAGAAACAAAATGCTTGGTTCGAGTTTGCTTTGCCCTTTACTTGATTTAGGATTACACTCTTTATGAACTACCTTATGAAAGGATTTTTTTTAAACAATGACCCAGATTTTTTAGCCACTAAATATATATTCTCGCCAAACCCAGTTAAAACTTGGAGTAGGCTAAAAACTATACTTCTAGCAGAAACACCCTGACCCAAAAATGCCAGTCATGTCGTATTACACCTGAGACTGCGGTGGAAGAAATCGGAAGAACTTTCAGGAGAAGGTACAGACACAGAGAACGTCTCAATTGAGACGTTCTCTGTGTCTGTTCCTTCTACTGAAAGTTCTTCGGATTTCTTCCACCGCAGTCTCAGGTGTAATACGACATGATTAGCTACCACCAGCTCGCCTGCACTCTCACCGTCTTTTCACCAAAAATGCCGTCGTTTTCTTACTATCATCACCATTAGTAGGGGTAACTATGGTCATCTGTGTTCATCACACTTACCTATTATCGTCGACAATGTCCCGCACATGAAGTTCACCATGTTTCATCGTGTTCAGCCAAAACATTCTCCACTGCGTGGTCAGTTTTTTTTTTTTTTCTTTTTTAATGAATGAATGAAGGTACGCCACAGGCTACGAAAATATCATCATCTCCACTTTCGCCATACTTTTAGGCGCAACTAACAGTGACATCGTACACCTTCTCCAGTGCAGAAAACATTTCTCGGGATCGCGCGTCGCTCCGACTTAATAGGTGGCCTAAATATCCTCAGGTGATTAAGGCGATGCTTTATGAGCCAGTCGTTGATTAAATTCACATCTTTGCGACCCTATAATATATTCATGCGGCTTTATCTTTGGTGCACATTGTCCCGACAATATGGTAGCATTACTTCACATATTTTCTTTACTTCTTTATTTAAGACCACATTATCACTGAAACTTTCAGTTGCTGTGGCGGAAACTTAAAGAACTTGTAATTGGTTTCGAGTCATCTTACTTTCTGTTGCCGTAGTACTAACAGTTCAATCGCTTTGTTTAAATACAAGTTCCCCAATTTAAATAAATTACAGAGATCCTATTTATTTGCTCGAGGTACTTTCTAAGCTTCTTTGTAAGCGACTGTGAGACTGTAAAATGATTATCACATTCCACAAGTGAGTCAACGGACCTTAGTGCCAGGTAAAATACGCGTTTGCGCACAATTAAATTATGCAATCGCGTGGGCGTGCGTGCGCATGGATTTTTCATCAAACAGTCTCGTGCAAAAAAAAAGTATTAATGCGAAAAACTCCATGTTCAAAACATGCTGTATTCTCAAAACCTTCCGACATAATTCGATGAAGGTTTTATTAAAAGGTCGTCACACTTTTATAACTTATGCTGAGTCCCGAAAGTGCACAGGAACAAGAAGAGCAAGACTGACCTTAAGAATCTGAACTAACCTATGCATAACCTTAACATCCAAAAACTACTGTATTTATAAGACTCATGATTGCCTCTCCTTCTAGGGCGTAATAGAAACAAGTTTCTTCTTTTTTTTTTTTTCCTCGCCTTTATAATTTAGTTCTTTCAGAAGTTTATGAGAAAATCCGAGTGTTTGGTTAAACTTCAGTCTGTATGCAGCACGGACAAAGCTTAGCCAGTGTCGGCGTTTCTGTGGACTCACGAGTCCGGAACCGAGCATCACGACTGCGTGAAATGGAGAACACGACCAAGTTCCTGAATAAGAAGTAGGCATGGCGGCGGCAAGCTTTTGCTTTTCTCTTCGTTCGGGCGGGAAGCCGGGCTAATCTTAACCCCGTCAGTTGCGCCCGCTTCTGCCCCGCGGTGGGCTCCTGCGCCTCGCAGAACGTCCGAATGGGAGACAAAATGCTCTTCGCCGTCGTTACCAACAAGCTGACATCCTGCCGGAGGCGACGGATTCACGCGGCATGCCTAAAACGCGCCTTCGACTAATGTCTTTACCGCGTCCTAAAAAAAAATGGTCCTTCGATTTCCGCTTGATGATGTCACGAGGGTGTCCACGTTGTCGCCGCGGTCGCGATCCTGACGGTGTCACAGCTGGAGCAATGGGTGTGTCACAGACGTTTGTATTTTGATGCGGGTCGCTCTCCTGCTCGCGGCAGTCCGCGGAAGTCCCATCACCCAGGCGTCGGGACACCGTGACGACAGCGACACTCATGCGTGTTTGCTCGTACTTTTTGCCCAAAACTCGCACGGTCACTTTTTTCCACCAGGACCGCGACATCATCCGGGAGCATAACACTCGGCTTTTTGTGGCGTCATTTGTTGCCACTTTGACACTGTTTTCACTTTTGATGCGTGGGCGGATTTGGACACTATACACAAAAGTCGGATGTGGGTTCCAGGCACTGCCGTTCCCGCAAACGGTTTTTCGACCTGGTTTACGAAACCTACAAACTACAAAGTGTACCCGGAAAGAAAAAAAAAAATTCGACTGCGTCCTTTTTGTTTTTGCTGTTTGCAACTAAAATAAACTACGCATCGCCGATAGGCCGCCTCCACCCAAAATGTAGCGCTATCGATCCGAACCACATGCCGAAATTTCAGAACCCACCGTAATCTTGCGAAATTGTTATAAAACTTAAATTACGATTTTTTCGCCATGATTAAAATGGTGTCCAACGAAGCCCGCAAATACACGGGGCTGAATGGCGCAAACTATACCGAACGAGTCCGATTGTCCAATTGAAAGATAAAATTTAAAGAAAAAAATCTCTTATAACTTTTTTAACGAGACAGTGGTGAGTTCGGAAAGTTTGCCAACTGGTCCAGACCGCTAGCGATATATTTGGACAGAACCGGAGCGTTCAGCAACGCGTAATCTACTTTTAAAATAAAAACAAATTAAACAAAAGGTATAACTTTGTTTATTTCGGGTACACGCTTTATTCTTGTTGTCGCCGGAATATTTCTTTGGAAAGAAACCTCAATACCATTTTCTCGCCTTCACCTGCCAAGAATGTACGGTTCACTCTATTCAGTTTTGTTAGACCACCGCTACCAGCACGAATCGTTGGAAGTCATTCTCCATGCGCGACAAACCCCACGCAGGTCTGCGCGAGCAGAGCCCGAGACAGCAAGAACTGTCTACTGCACTGTAGCATGACGTTACTATACGGGGTGTTTCTAAGAGCGGCACGCGGGTTTAAATCGACTACAAAATTGGGTTTCTTAACCTATCGTGCTACGAGGTTCTGCAGCGTTTCCCCACAGGTGGTGCATTTTTTCTATAAACTTTGCAAAGAGCGAGCCTACCTCAGGAAAAGGTAAAAAAAAGAAAGAAAAAGCCTTAACTCCTATGGAAACGTACCGAAGTCAGCGGTATTCAAACAATAGGGCGCGCCCTAATGATTGAAGACCGGTGGCTTTGCTGGGTTTCCATAGGAGTTAAAACATTTACTTTTTTTAATTTTTCCTGAAATAAGGTTGATTTTATAGGGAAAATGCACCACCTGTCGGCAACGCTGCACAACATTGTAGCGTGGTAGATTAAAAAACCGAATTTCGCGGTAGATATAAAAGCCTGACCGCTATTAGAGACACCCCATAGATCAAGGTCAGTTGTCAAGGTTTCTAGAAAGCCTGCCGCCTTTTCGACGGACGAAGGCGACGAAGCCGGTAGAACGATATATTGTCACGAATTACAAGTGATGAGGCGATAATAACTAGAGAAACTAAACGTTTAATGGGGCGAACTTGTGCCCAAAAATAAAAAAGAGAACAGAAGAAAACAGCAGAGCTTCGCGGGCGTCGATGTCGGCGAAACCGCAGGATCGAGCGCTGGGGCGAGACTGACTCGACAAGGTCGCGGGCAGCTGCTTATCTACAGTGCGTCTCTATCTCGAAAGTTAGGCAAAGAAGGCTCGAGCGTCGCGCGCTCGGGGCGAGGATTAACTGGCACTTTCGAGAACAAGCAAGCAGGGCGAAAGTTACGACTGGTGCAAGAATGAACGCGAACCTTCTAGAAGTCCGTGACCGAACGTTGCTTTCTCGACCCTGCGGGCGGCAATATGAACATTGCTTCCAGTGGAAAAGAATTCTATTTTGTTTCTTCTTCGTTTTTGTTTTCTTGTGGTAAACATAAGGTTTGTGCAAACGTTTGCGCAAAAAGAGCATCGTTCGAAAATGGTCCTTCTTCAAAGTCCTTGCGTGTTGATTGGACAGAACAACTATATATATAGTCAAGCTGCGATGGTTTACTTTCCACGCGTCTTCCGACATTATCAGCACCGATGTTTTTGTTTAGCGTTTTTAAAGGTGCCGGTTCTACGGGGTCTTTTTGATGAGTCAATTTGTTTCTCGTTAAGCTCCGCTCCACGAGCCTGTATACTATACATAGAAATGCGGGAGAAGGGTTACTATAGGCAACCTGCAATGCTGTTTGGTTTGGCGCCATCTAGCGACTGAAGCAAGAAATATTGGGTACCCCTGGGAGTGGCGGCTGCATTGTTCAAACGTGAGGTTTTGGCTGGTGGCGCCGCTTAGCCTAGTGTCTGAAGCAAGAAATACTGGGTATCCCAGGAAGCCGTGATCGCGTAACGTGCCAGCAGAGCGGAAGCTACGGCTCTGGCGGGCCAATCGGAACGTGACTGCGTATCACCGGAGCGCGCCTCAACTCCGAAGAAG